CAGGAGGGGAGTCGTGGGGCGCCGAGGAGCACCTCGGCATCTGGAGTCTGGCAGGAGAGGCGAAGGGCGGAGGGGCTAGCTCAGGAGAGAGAGACAGCGAGGCCCGGGAGCCACACGGTGCTCCCAGGCCTCGGCAGCAGGGAGACACCGGGCGTGGGGCTGATGGGCCCGAGCTAGGGCTGGAGAGGAAGGGGGGGCCAGACATTCATCCCGGTTACTTTTGGTTGCAGGACGTGGCGGCTGGTCGGATAAAGGGGAGCTGCTGGGAAGGGTTCGACCCCGAGGCCCAGGCAGTGTAGCTGGCAGCGGTGAGGACGCCGTCTGCCGGGCAGGTGAGTCCCCTTCTCCTCCCTGGCCTCAACGCACTGACCTTCCCCAAGGAGGTTAGGGAGTGAGCGCTGGTGAGAAGAAGAGGATGGCCTCCTGGCAGAGTGGCAGGTGAGAGGCAGGAAGGTTAGCAAAGGTGACATCTTCTCGGGGGGAGCCGAGACAGGGCCAGGCTGGGGGGCCAAGGGCTGCCCCAGGTGGAAAGGGCGTTTCGAAGGCAGATAGAAGAGGGCGCAGGAGGGCTGCCGGTGAAGGCCGAGGCTGCCGCCTCCAGGGAGGCGATGGGAGTCCTTGGAGACGGCGGCAGAGGCCGTGGGATCCAGCAGGAGAGCAGAAGTCCAGACTCGGGTCGAACAGGGCAGGGCAGGGTCCAGGACACAGAGGGGTCCCCAGCCACCACCACATCCCACCCACCGTAACTCATTTAGACGAAGGTGCAAGAGCGGCTCTGGCAGGGCCTTCTGAGGCCCTCGCCAGAGCTTTGAGGGCCGGAGAGCGGGAAAGAAGGGCAGTGCGCGGGCAGCATGGCAGGGTGTCACCGGGACGGGAGCCTGTGGCCGCGGGTGGCGGGCTCCGGAGATAACGCGGCAGGGAGGCCGCAGCGGGCCCAGCCTGCGGACACAGCGTTCCCACGCGGCACTGCGGCCCAGGGGCTGGCGCGGAGGGGGCCCACAGTGGACTCGGTGTCACTGTATGCCCCGACCGCTCAGCGCCTGGGTCTGGCATGGCAGACAGAACAGCTCCAGGGGAGTCAAGGGCACAGGATGAAACCAGACGAGGCAAGGCGGGGTGGGGTGGGGCGGAGTGAGTGAGTTCTCTTGGGAGGGAGGTTTGGGGCGCAGGCCGGGCGAGGTGCAACAGCAGGGGGCGGCGAGCTGGTGAGGCACTGGCCTCCAGAGTCTGAGGCCAAGGCGGGCCTTGCTGGCGGCGACGGAGCAGTGATCGGTGCCTCTGAGAGCTTGGACTGGAGACTAGGGTAAGTGTCCAGCCTGCCCGTGGCCCCTTGATCTCCTCCCACCCGTGTCCGCTCAACCTGTGTCCTCTCTCTGCACAGCCAAGTCTCCAGCAGGGGTGGACGTGCCTTCCAGCCACTGAAGGCCAGAATGACAGGTGTGGTCAACATGCTAGAAAGACATGACATGGTCCGGTGTGATGGAGAGGAAGAAGGGCTCTCACCTGGCCTTCCTGGTGAGCATACATATGCCCAGTACAGGGCCAGCTCACCCATCTGCCCCCCCTACCACCCGCCCTCTCACCCCAGACTCTGTCCTCTGCAGAACACCATGAGCTGGCGCCGTGGGACCCTGCCACATGAGCCGTCTGTCTTTTACTTCTCCCAAAGAGCCAACAGATCACACTGCTGCTCTCTGGATCCTCTTCCCCTGCTCCTTGAACCCTCAAGATGAAAAGGTGAGGGTCCTCCCACCACACGTGGCTGGGCGGGACATGGCGGGCTGCCAGGCCCAGGGTCTCATTCTCCTTGCCCACAGAAATGGTGCTACCCAGCTCACGTCTGGGCCTTCGAATCTGGGGACTTCTTCAAGTCCATCTAGCTCTGAATCAAGACTATGCTGCGATTGGAACCACTACACCACCTGCCTCAGGAATCGGCTCTGGAAGGTGGGCGGGGCACTGTTTGGAAGTTGGCCAAGCCCCTCCCCTCCTGGCCCTCACTCATTCGTTCTTTCTCAATGCAGGTGAAGCCGAAGGAACAGACGGTGTGAACATCTTAAGAGCAGATCCACAGCATCCACCCCCCGCCAAGACTCCATCTTCAGTGGCCAGTTCCGCCTTGCCCAGGAGGCCAGCACATCACCATCGCCTCCCTCTGAGCTTCTTCAGCCTTTTCCTCCACCCTTGTGTTTCTTTCTTTTTGTCTTTTCTTTGCTTGAGAGACTCAAAGCATCCGTGACTCTGTTTCCCCCACCCATCCCCTTCTGAATTCAATTTGCACTAAGTCGTTTGCACTGGTTTGGAGTTCCGGAGACAGCCTTGTGTCTCTCGGCACGAATGTGTACAGTGAGTGTGAGTGTGTGTGTGTGTGTGTGTGTGTGTGTGTGTGTGTGAGTGAGTGTGTGTGTGTGTGTGTATCTGTGTGTAGGCCCCTTTGGTCACACCACCCCAGCGCCTGCCTGCCATCCATCTCTGTCTGCGGGCGACTGGGCGATGGCGGCGTGTTTGAGGCCTCGCCCCCACCCCCCTGCCTAGTCTGGAGGAAGTTCCATCACAAAGTTTTCATCATGTCTTATTTCATTCTGTGCCCCTCCTCACCAGGACCTCACCAGAGGCTCTGGACTCATCAATAAATACAGTTACAGTCATTGGTCTCAGGGACTTGAATCATGATATCTGCCTGGGGTGCGCCTCACTTGGGGTGGGGGACAGGGGAGAGGGGTATGAGGGAGGGGGGATAAACATCAAGAATGAAGGAGACTGTGGGATTCTGGGAGGGAATGAGGAATGATGGATGGTGGGAGGGGCTCATGAAACAGACTGCTGCAAGATGCTGGGATAAGGCCCACAGAACAGCGGCTCAGGTGCCAGGAGATAATGGCACAGAGGGGGTCATAAGGCACCATGAGACACAAAGGAGCCTCTGGGAAATGGGCAGAGGCAAGTAGATGAGAATGGCAGGTGCCATGTAGAGACGGGGTGGGGCTGAAGGCAGAGGTGGGGGCTGGGGAGGCAACGGGTGAACTTGGCAATGAGAAAGAGGCCAGATCCTACCCAGAAACCTGCCCAGCCCTGCCTAGATGGTGCCCTGCGTCCTCATGCTGATCCCAGACCCCAGGGCCTGGTGCAGGTTGGCAGACACCTTGTAAGGAGTGAATCTGACACACAGGCACTATTGGGCTTCATCGGGGGTAGGCAGTCATGCTTGAGGCTGGGTGGGCCACAGCCACATAAAGAGGCCCACGGTGGTCTCTGGGCTTCTCCCCTCCTGCTCTGGGCCTGCTGAGCTCTGGGCTGGAGCCAGAGTAGACACATGCGATGGTCCCTTTCCCTCACTCTCCGCCCTGGGCAGGAGCTTAAGGGCCACAACAGAGATAGGAACACACACAGGTCTGAGTGTGGCTATAGTAGGGGACGGGAGTACAGGGGATACCCAGGGAGCTGAAGGAGATCAGAGATCAGAGTGGGAGATAGGTGGGTGGAGGGTCATTAGGGTCTTGATTCTGGGGTCCACACATAATCCCCCTACCATGTGTTTGTGATTGGTGCTCCTATAAAGTTAGTAGCTGGCTGGGCTAACCCCTCTGCCTCTAAGACCCTTCCTAAATCCCCTGGCTTCTGTGCTCTGGACTGCACAGATACTAGGAAGGGGTTTGAAAGGCAGCTCTTACAAATGAGGCTAGGGTCCTCAGCCCTCATCACCCTCCCCCAGCCCCAGTGCTCACAGCAGTCAGGAAAATCTCTGCAGGCTGACAAAGACCAGACAGAACCAGAACCGACTGTCAGGAACACCCACCCTTTCCACCCCATACCCTCCCTGGGCAGTGGGCCAGGTCCTCCCTTCCCCCACCATATGTCTGGTCTCACTTCTGGGCCTTCCACACCCCTTTCCTCAAACCCGTGGCCCTCATATTTGCTGGGAGGGGGCCTCTGTGGTCTCCCTGTGCTGGGCCAGGGTGGTGAGGCACCCACTGAGCACAGTTAGATGAGGGTTTCCCTGAACCATCTCCACCGAGGATTCCAAGAGCTGTTAATCAGGTCACCTCCACCTTCCTGATCCCCTCGAGGTGACTCGTCCAAGTGACAAAATGGTCATCCATTATATGTCATGAGGGAGGTCCATAAACAGCCTTTATGATAAACATCTGACCCTGCAAAACCAGCCTTGGAAGATAAAAGTCACCTTCCAAGAGGGATAACTGTGAGCACCACAGGTGGCCCAGGGGGTGGGTATTAAGAGCAGAGGTCTATGAGATTGTTGAGGACAGAGGGAACCCCCAAGGAGGTCCACAGTCTGTCTAAAGACACAGAAATGGAATGGCAGAGCAGAAAGGGGGCTCAGGACAGGATATGAGCTGTCTCCTCTGAGCCCTGCTTTCCTGGTCACCAAGAGGCTGACGCACTAGGACTAGGCTGCACCCAGGCTTTGAGATCTGGGGTTCTAGGATCACACATTCTCACGCTGAGGTTCTACCCAGAGGATGCTGAGCCAAATCTGGGGGGATGGGGCACCAGTTTGGCCAAGAAGGAATTGTTCCTTCCTGCCCTCAGGGTCGTGTTGTGAAAGCCCAGGTGTATTGCTCTGGTCCACGATGTTACAGATGGCCAGGGTGTCACAGGGGCAGGCACTACCCTGAATTTGTCCATTCCTCCTCTATTTTCTGGTGCCTAGAGTTGTGCCCAGGGGTACTCTGGAGAACTTGGGGACATGGGGGTGTCTGGGGACAGGACTTTGGGGTGCTGGCCGGTGGGGATAAGAAGTCACTGGCCAAGATCACCACTGTTCCACAAACAGGTGTGCCCGTGGGTCCTGGGCCTCCAGAGCCTCGCCCAGGGGTGGCGGCTGGGAAAACAGAGGTGGCCCAGCCTCCCCACTGCCCCCCAACCCCCACCACCCAGCCAGCACAGCCCCTCCATCAGCCCACAGTTTGGAATGTGTTTACCTTTAGCCCAACCCAATTTCCTGCTTTTTAGAAAAGGAGCTTAGAGAGGGTTGCTAGACAGGCTCCAAGCCTGCCACCCAAAGGCACTTTCAACGCCCCCACCCCCTTGCACCGAGAAGCTAACAGGGGCTTGAATTTCATCCCTAAACCCCAGCCAGGGTGGGTGGTGGGGAGGGGCTGGCTTCTACCATGCTGCACAGCCTGGGAGGAAAGGTTTCGGATCTCCATGGGGCCCAGAAGCCCCAGCACAACCCCCACCTGCGGCACAGAACTACAGGGGTCTTCATACACCCAGGCCCCTCCCAGCCGGCTTTCACTGGCAAGTTAAGTTTGAACAAAGGCTGACTAACCCATTAGAGAAGACCTTACCACACGTGCTCTGGCCATGGCAGGGACTCTGTGCGGTCCTGGGGACCCATGTGCTGTGGGTTAACCTGTCTCACCATGCTTCACCTATCCCTGCCCCCGTCATTTGTGTGTGCCCCAATTGTGTCTGAATCTGTGAGAGAGGGGCTCCCTGTGGTGGGCTCTGTGATCTCAGCTAGCCAGCCGTGGTGCAGAGGCCCGAGGAAAGAGGACTCTGTTCTCTTGCAGGATTTTCTATGCGGGGTGTATGTGCTTAAGGCTCGTGTGAGGCCAGTGTCCCCAGGAAAGTGCACCCCTGTGGCTGCTGTGTTCGGTCTCTGTTGTTTCCTGTTTCAGGTTGAATTGAATGACCCCAGGGCACGTTTCAAGCAGGGATCGTGGACGTGGGGAGGGGGCAGTCAGGATAATCGCTTTCTGGCTGAGCACAGAACATTCCAACGCTGTGCAGAGGAGGCCCCTTAAACAGGGCCCAGGGGCTGCGGGTCTGACTGCAGTGTGCTCTGTAGGTAGGACTGTGGAGAGTGGCCTTACCCTGGCCAAGTTGCAAGAAGACAGAGGGTCTTCTTTCTAGAGAAGCCAGAGAGATGGGGGTCCACCCAAGAGGCTCATGTGACCCTCTCCAGCCATGCAACCCAGCACCTGACCAGGACCAGTGGCTGGCTCTAGGACCATCCCCTTTCAGCCTGTTCCCAGCCTTCCCACAGAAGGCCTAGAGTGTGTGCATGCATGTACATGTATGTGTGTGTGTATGTGTATGCATGTGTGTGTCTTACCCATGAGGGAGTAGGATCTTCTTTAAGATTTTAGGGGGACAAAGGGGGAACAGAAGGTTCTTGAAGGCGTGTGGGCAACAACTTCAGGCTGCTGTAGCCGGGCTGGCTCAGCGAAGCTTCCCACCCTTTCTGCTTCCCTCCCCTCTCCAATCCTTTCCCCTCCTCCCCCTCTCCTGGTGACATGGTTGGCCCCTTTCCAGAGCTGAGGGGAGCTGGCGGGGGCCCTTCCTGGAAGCCCACCTGCAAAGGCTTGCTGGGAAGGGGCCTGCTCTCCCTCAGGCTCCCACCCGCCTGCAGCCGTTTCCTGGAAGCAGTCACTGTGGGTATTCTGTTCCTTGTCAGCGGAGCCTGCAAATAAAGCAGACACTGTGCTCCTTGTCCTTAGGGAGCCCAGCTCCATCACCCCACACCTGGCAGGATAGCGGCGGGCAGCCGGGCCACGGGGATCGGTTCAAGGTGGGGGCTGGACCCATAAACGAGCACAGGCGCCAAGTGCAAGAGGCTCCTGCTCCCACCGTCTGTGCGACACCTCTGAGCAGGAGCACGTGCCAAGCCCCAGGGTGTGAGAACCAGCCATGGGTGCAAAAGGGAACTCCCCAAGGAGGGGCACTGAGCAGACCCCAGAGAGAGAAGCTGGCAGATCCACAGAGAGTCCAGCCTGGGATCCCTGGCTTTGCAGATATGGTCGTGTGGACAGAGAGCGTCTCTCTAGTCCCAGGGATCTAGGGCCACAGGAAAAAGGGGCATTGGCATCTGGGGAGAGAGGGCTGGGTGAAAAAGCCTTTGACCTGAGCCAGGGAAAGTCTGTGCAGAACTATGGAGAGTCAGAGTTGGGGCCTCATGGACACCGATCTGGAAGAAGGCATGCAGAAGACAGTGCCTCGATTCCTCCGCCTTCCTGGAGGGAGAAATTAAAGGAAGCATGGTGTGAGGTCTGGGAACAGGCTGACTGACCTCCATGACTGGCATAGGGGCCCTGGTCTTGCCATGTGTCAGAGCTCGATGGGGCACATGGCCAGCACTATGTGCACGCTCCAGGATACGCGTTAGGGTTAAGAGATCAGGTGGAAGAAGAGGAGGCCTAGGTGTGACCGTGGGGAGCGGCAGTGGCTAGGACGGGCCATGGAAGACAAGAGAACAGCTGGGAGAGTTAAGGCACCCAGGGTCAGAGGAAATTTTGGTGCCTGCATGTGAGGAAGGACAGGCTTTGGGGCGTGAGGCTGAACCCTGCTTCACTGCGCCCCAGCCTCTTGGTGCTGTGGAGGCTTGGGGGTGGTGCTGCCAGGGATGGGCTTAGGGGAAACATGGGGCCCCACAAAAGGCTGGGAAAGACTGGTTTATTCAGGTGGCATTCAGGTCGTGCGTGTGCGTGGCAGGGCCCATGGGATGAAGGGAGGTACACACAGAGCCCCCGGCAGGCTCCCCATTGGCTGCTGGTGACTTCACCCCTGTGTCAACACGACCACGTCTGCGGCTCTCCAGCTGGCTAGGGTTTATGGAGCGGGACCCGGCCCTGCCTGTGCCCCCACCCCACCGGGCCCACACACTGGCCCACTGTTAGGATTT